TACGGTCCGACATGAGACAACCTCAGTGCAGTGACAGCGCTAAAAAGCGCTAAGCCTGAACAGACCTTCTAATTACATGAAAATGTTCCTCAGCCTATCGTGTATTTATGATGATCTCGTCTTTTTTCCCAAGTCGAGTTATTGGTTTTACAAAAACCCATAGGGTTTTCGAGGTAATTCGCGTTTTTCTCCCCCATAAGAGCACTTTTTCCATAACATAAAGTCATATTCGAAATCACCGTGAAAAACTACGTCGAATGATACATAGCTTTTTAATTTTTCTGCAGAAATATTTTCGGTCAAACTGAATTCTACAGTTGAAAGCCTGTCCGCAGCAAATTTTGCTTAGGAAGTTGGATATTTATTTTAGCAATAGTGCGCAAGTGTATAAACACATTTTTTATAGGTTTTCGAATATGATCTCTCCAATAGTGAGGTTTTCGAAATGTAAGGTTTTCCAGAGATCTGGTCTCTAGAAAACCCACAAGGAATTACTTCTGAGTTCTGAAAATCTCATCATTAGAAAGAGCATATTCGAAAACCAATAGAAAAACATGTTTATAGGCTTTCATATCAGTTCTACAGCATATGTTCGCCTGCTCTATAGAAAAATGCCCACTGAGCGCCCCTCCCTCCTCTCCCAGAATAGAAGGCCATGGCCTTCTACTATGGTTTTGCACATGGTGTTATACGACTTCTGTAATCATGTTTTCTGTTAGATATTCGTTAAGCATTAGAAATTGTTATATATCGTTTAGAAAATGGCAAACGTCTTGCCTCTGTTGGTCTGGATGATTATCGTACAATTGTTATTTGGAACTGGAAAAAAGGTGATAAATTAGCTTCACAAAGGTATAAAAATTTATTTTTATTTTTTAAACTCAATTATATATACATTTTTATTGATTAATCATTTAGAGGACACAATGATAAAATATTTTGTTTACGATGGAATCCATATGATGATGATAAATTTGTGACTGTTGGAATTAAACATATTAAATTTTGGCAGCAAGCTGGTGGAGGAATGACAAGTAAACAGGTACATTAAAATATCGAAATTCATTTTATAAACTAGTCATCATATATTAAAATTTCTCTTTTAGGGAGTTTTTGGAACTAAAAATAAAAAAGAAAATCAAATGTGTATAGTATATGGAAAATCAGTTGAAACGTGTATCACGGGAGGTGGCGATGGTTCAATTTATATTTGGACAAATTCAACTTTGGGTAAAGTTATAAAAGACGCACACAAAGGTCCAGTGTTTGCAATAACAGCCGTTCAAGATAAAGTAAGAAAAGGGCAATAGTGTTTTAGATAAATTTATTAATTTATTCTTTTTCAATAAGGGTTATGCAACTGGTGGCAAAGATGGACGTATAATACTATGGGATCCAGAATTTCAAAAAAATATCAAAACATACGAGTTAATAAAAAAAAATATATTACCTGATTCGAAAGGTAAAAGAATAACTTATTCATTTTGATTAATACTGAGCATATGATAAAATTTTATATATTCATTTTAAAGGAACAATAATAGAAGAGTATCCAGCTGTTCGAGCTGTTACATTAACAAGACGAATTGTTGTTGGTACAAAAAATGGTGAAATATTAGAAATTGAAAAAGATGGTAAAATAAAAGTGCCTGTTGAAGGTTAGTTTATGAACATTTCTCTTGAACTAAGAGAGTATAAGCATAAGATACATTGTTCTAGTTCTATAGGTCACGCTGAAGGTGAAATGTGGGGCTTAGCATGTCATCCATCTAAACATGAATTTTGTACCGTCAGTGATGATAAAACCGTTCGAGTATGGTCAATCAAAGATAGAAAAATGTTACGTTTTAAATCATTTCCTAAATTATTGCGTACATGTGAATATTCACAAGATGGAAAAGCAATTGCCGTTGGAACGAAAGACGGTAAGAATAAAATGAAAATCTAATAGATAATCTAAATAAGAAATAGATTATTGTGTAAATAAATTGAATAAATCATATTCTATTTTTTAGGTCAATTTATTATTTTAAATTCAAGTGATCTCAGCAATCTTATTCCAGAATTTATTGCTCATAGACATCAAGAAATGTCCGATATAAAATACTCACCAGGTTTGTTCAATAATATTTTAACACTATATTAATCAATTGGATTCCTAAACCAAATTTTAGCGCAAACCTCCTTTAAGTGGTAAAGTTCATGAATAGCATGTGCATTTTGCTCATTTTTCTTTTTTTTTGCATCAACCGCATGATTTATAGATATTTATTTTTTATTTTTTCTCTGATGACTCATTTTTCAAATTGACAATATCTGTATAACAGACATTCATTTTACTTTTTCTAGACGGTCATTATTTAGCTGTGGGTACTCACGATAATTTTGTTGACATCTACAATGTTGCAACTAGTAAACGAGTTGGAATATGCAAGGCAAATTCAAGTTATATTACACATATCGATTGGGATCAAGATAGTAAGATGCAATTAACAATATCTGGAGAATAATTAAAATATTAGACGATCATAATCATTTTGTATTTTTTCAAAGGTAAACTAATAATGACTAATTCTGGTGCAAAGGAGCAATTGTTTTATGAAGCTCCACGTGGTACTCGTATTACATCAATTAAAACAACGGATGTTGAAAAAATGAATTGGTATACGTGGACCGGTGTACTTGGTCTTGTATGTGATGGTATTTGGCCACCATATACAGATATAACAGATGTAAACTCGACACATTTGTCAAAAAGTAAAAAAATTTTAGCTACGGGTGATGACTTTGGCTTAGTTAAATTATTTGATTGGCCAGCAAAAGTAAGAAGATTTAAATTGTTTCAAACAAAAAAAAAAGAATAATATAAAAAATTTTTTGTTTCTCTAGGGCAAATTTGCTAAATTTAAAAAATATGTGGGACATAGTGCTCATGTGACACGAGTACGCTGGACATTCGATGATGGTTATCTAATTTCAATCGGTGGGCGAGATGTAGCAACACTTGTATGGAAACATGGGCAAAAAAATACTGGTCCAGGAGAATCTGATGATTCGGATAATACAGATTCCGAAGAAGAAGGTAGAGTATACGATCAAAGAAAAAGCATCAAATAAAATACAAGAACTTTTTATTGAATAGGATACGATAGTGACGTTGAACATGATCGTAAAATGAATTATAATACTCGTATTCTTATTGAATCTACTCGTACAAAAGACGAAAAACATATATCTCGACCTACAACAACGAATCAAAAACCAATGTAAGTATATCTAATAATAACAAATAATATGATTAATAATAATAAAATAGAGTACACATTTCGAATATCAGAGTAATGATGACGGTGTATTGATTTCAATCTTTCTTAATTGCAATTGAGTTGAGTTGTGCATCAAATAGTGTATACATCTTTCTTATACTATATATACTAGATCCCAACATGATATGGCAAAAGTGTAAGTATTTAATGCTTATAAGGTTATGATAATGAATCTATATAATCTATATCAGCTTTCAAATTATATTTCAGACGGCTACGTGTAAAAGGTCCATCCAACGTTGAACAAGATGTTGATTTGCAACTTGTTATGCTTGCAGCTATGAAGTATGCTTTCCTTTGTTTCTTGCTCTATTATATATATATGTAATCTCATAACTTCTTTAAAAATTAGAAAATATTTTATTTATAATGAGACTGAAATGTATCTTATACTTTAATTTTTGTAAAAATAGCTTTGTATCTATGAACACTTGTTCAATTCTTTTCCGAGTATAAGTTTAAAGTCCATCTAATAGTTCATTACCTTGACTTGTGTTTAACACGTTAATGAAGTATCTTTAAGATTTTTGACATTCAAAATTTTATCAGGTCTGGTTTGAGTTTTGGAAAATCGACCGCACCTAAACCCAAAACAACTGCAGAAGAGAATCAGGGTGTACGAAAACCAAAAGGACGTGTAGTAGTACGTATTAAAGTAGAATAAGTCATTTAAGATAATAATGTTCAAATAATTTGATCATTTTTCAGGATCTTCGTCTTGATCATATTCATGGTTATCGTGGATTCGATTGTCGAGATAATTTATTTTATTTGGCTGATGGTGAATCAATTGTTTATCCAGCCGCAGGTGCTGGTGTTGTTCATAACATTTCAAAAGGTTCATAACATGCAATTATATTAAACTTTTTTACTATGTTAATGAACTAATATTTATTTATTTATATAAACAAAGGTACTCAACGATTTTATACATCGCATACAGACGATATCATATCAATGGCGATATATAATAGTGATAGTCTTAAAAATATTGTGGCGAGTGGTCAAATTGGTGAAAATCCAACAATACACGTTTGGGATGCTCAAACTCAAAAAACACGTTCAGTACTTAGTGGATGTCATAAAAAAGGCGTATGTTCACTGAGCTTTTCATCCAGTGGAAAATTTTTGGTATCAGTTGGGGTTGATGCACCATTTACTATAGCTGTGTGGAGATGGCAAGAAGGTAATGAATCATTTTTATCAAAATCTATTCGATAAAATTTTAATGTAAATATATTTTAGGAATAAATATCGCGCATACTGTTGGTAGTACAGCACGTATATTTCGTGCTCTATTTCGACCTGATTCTGATACATACTTTGTATCGGTATGTTAAAGAATAATAAATTAGTTATGAAATGCAATTTTGATTCGACTCCTTCATTCAGGTTGGTGTTAAACATCTAAAATTTTGGTCTCTTGCTGGTAATACATTGGTTGAGAAAAAAGCTGTACTAACCGTACAAGGAAGTGGAAAGAAAAGTTCAAAAATGCAAACAATGTTATCAATTGCTTTTGGACCGGTAATAAGCTTTTTATCGAGTAAATAATATTATTAATAAATTTTGAGACATTTTCGTTTAGAATGATCGAACATATACGGGTAGTATGACTGGTTTAGTATTTATTTGGAATATTAATACCCTTGAACGAACAGTCGAAGCACATCATGGTCCAATATTTTCAATGTTTACATCTGATAAGTGTATTGTGACTGGTGCAAAAGAAAAGTTTGTTACATCGAGTGACAATCTGACATATAATTAACAATTAACTTTTATTTAGACGTTCAAAAAATTCGAATACAAAATTGATACCAGTTAAAGTATGGGATTTCGAGATGAAAAATGGAAAACCGATTTCATTTGATACAATGAATACCGATTCAATTTGTGTACGATCTGTTTGCAGAAATCCACAAGTGAGAATGGTCAAACTGTTGACATTTTTCACCGAAATTTCAACTGACTTATTATTTAGGGTAAACTACTGATTGGTTTAAAAACAAGTGATATTGTCGAATTAAATGAAAATAATTCACAACTTACTGGTTCGCTGGTATTTGGTCATGGTGAAGGTCAATTATGGGCACTCTCATCTCATCCAACGGAACAAATATTTGTCACAGGAAGTTTTGATCATAATGTAGCTGTTTGGGATATTGGTAATAAGGTAACGTGAAATTGAATATAAGTTTTTCATACCTAAACAGTCATTATTAACAAATTCCACCCTTAACATTTTCTACTAATTACCACTTCTAGGAAACAGCCCGAGAACATGTAAGTTTAACTATTTTCTCTTCAGCGCTATGAGCTCTTCTTCTTTTTGTCTAACGAATAAATTGCATACAGGCAAGCTTGTAGTTGACTATGTTTTCATTTTCATATGTAAGGTGGCAATAGTACAAAAATATAGAAGACTTTTTCCCAATTTTAGCATGCTTCGATAGAGCTCATCAAGTTATCTCGAAAAAACACAGTTTCGAACTTTTGAAAGCCATTTTTGGGTAAAAAATTTAAAAATATTGGTTTTATGAAAATGGACAAAAATCAGTAACTCTTCTAAGAAAAAGCAAAACTTTCATATTTATTACTGTCTTAAGATTCCAAAAGTATTTTTTCTGATTGTCTATCGAAAACTGAGTATAGAAAAGTGTTTTTGACAATCTTAGAACCTAGTTTTTGTTCAACTTAGACCGGACCCCTTCGGATTGAACCTGTACAAGAAAAATAAAAGTAGCGTTTTGTAGCAAAAAAACAATGTTTTAAAAAAAGCTCGCTGTACGTCTTTTCCCACGCCTAGTGAAAGTACTCATACAATGAGTACGACTTTACTCATAATTCGTCCATGAGTACTCATATTAGTTCTACTAACAATTTTCGAGTATTGTTACTCAGTGAGTAGTCAGTTACTCATGTGAAAACATTCATTCACCGTTTTATTTTGCTAAACTGAAACTGTATAAAGAACGTAGGATTTAGTGAAGAAACATAGAATATTTATATTATTATTTTCTCACTGGTCTCTCTGTATATGGTCAGGGATGGACTCGTCTATGACTAGACTTGTAGTTCTACTCTGGCTGCCTGAGATCACTCTTCTGTATTAAAATATCAGATGAACAATACTCATGAGTATTTTGCCAAAAGTTATATGAATACTCAACAATATCCAAGTAGAGTACTCAAAGTCGTACCCACAGTACTCGTTACTCACTCATGAGTAAAAAAATGTGTGAGTACTTATGAGCACTCGAGACATTTTTCAGCAGAGTACGATTTTGAGCACTCACACTTGAGTATATTCACGGGGAACATGTATGACAACTCTGAAGAAGGAAAAAGGAAATTTTTTAACTTGTAACCAAAAAACTAGATAGACGTGCAAGATGTACGGGGTTTCACCAGTTCCGCTGATCTTCGACGATTTTAAAAGTTAGTTTAGGTTCTAAGGTTGTCAAAAACACTTTTCTATACTCAGTTTTCGATAGACAATCAGAAAAAATACTTTTGGAATCTTAAGACAGTAATAAATATGAAAGTTTTGCTTTTTCTTAGAAGAGTTACTGATTTTTGTCCATTTTCATAAAACCAATATTTTTAAATTTTTTACCCAAAAATGGCTTTCAAAAGTTCGAAACTGTGTTTTTTCGAGATAACTTGATGAGCTCTATCGAAGCATGCTAAAAATGGGAAAAAAAGTCTTCTATATTTTTGCACTATGACCACATTATATAAATAACATAGATCAAGGTGTTGATTTGGATTTGATGGATTTGTTCATTAACTGTAAAATTAACAGATATGAGAATTGAACATTGGTTTGATTTTGAAACACTACATACTAATAGTGTAATTCTTTTTTTTTAATATAGAGCCTTATTGTTAAACGTGATTTGGGTAAAGAAATTCGAAGTGTATCATTCAATAGAGATGGTAAATAAACATCAATATTGTCAATGTAAAAGACTAATGATTTCTATATTTTAATCAGGTACGGTAATTGCTGTTGGTTTTACAGATGGTCAAATAAGTCTACTTCGATTTTCTGACAATAAAGAATTGACAGAGATAATTAAAACACGTGAACGAAATGCTCCTATCACTGATGTCCGGTATGAGAGAGAAATAATTCTAAATACAAATTTTAAATTTTAAACCAATTTTCCTTTTTTTTCTTCTTTAGATTTAGTCCTGATCGTAAATTATTATGTGCTTCATCTAATAATTGTTGTATTGATATATTTGATATTCAAAATAATCAACTAAATAGAATAGGCTATATAACACATATCGATGATTTTGTCACACAAATGGACTGGGCAACCAATAGTAAATATATCAGAGTAAGAATAGATTTATATTTAGTCATAATATTTACTAATTTTTTATTATTTATAGGCAAGTACAGCGGGTTATCATGCTATTGTTTATCGTATACCAAGTGGAGAAGAAGTAGAAAAAAAAGAAGAACTTGAAAAAATTGTATGGGATACATGGACTAGGTATTATATTATAAATTAAATAACTATTAAATTTAAGGTGTTTTTAATAAAAAAATATTTTCTTTTTTCCTAGTACAATTGGTGCTGATGCTGTTGGAATATGGCCAAAAGGTGTAAAAAAAGATCATGTAAATTGTGCTCATGCTACAGCATCAACAATTGTAACTGGAGATGATGCAGGTGCTGTTAAACTTTTTAAATTTCCATGTCCTGAAGCAGAGGTAAAAAATACTCACTTATTATAAACAATTTAAATAAAATGTTCTCTATGTATTTAGGCTGAATGTAAAACATACCATGGTCATTCTGATAATGTAACAAATGTACGATTTTTAGCAAATGAAACATATCTAGTCACTCTTGGTGGAGATGATTGTTGGTATGTTCAAAGAAAATGCTTAACTTTTAATAATTATATGCTAAGATTTTTACTCTTGTTTTAGTATTTTCTTATGGAAATGTATCCCAGAAACCATCACAGATTAAACTATTGGACAGTTTAATTTAAAAAATTTGTTAATTTTTCTTCTCTCTTGTTTTTATTTCATGTGTCATTCTATGTTTGTACGCAAATTGTGCCTTTTGTAATCCCATTCTTTTGTAGTTTTATACTAAATGTTTGTTTTTTTTTCTAATTAATAAGAAATTGGGTTTAGGCTTTTATTTGAAATTAAATCTGCGTAAAAAAGATTGATTTTTTTTTTGTTTTTGTTTTGTTGTGAAATATATCTAGCAACTATCTCATTTTACTTGTAGTTTTAGACAATAATTGATCGAACATGCTATGCTCATAATTTTCTTTCCAATGTTTTCCTATAATATTTGATACATTCTTTTTTTTATTTAATGAAATTATTTATACATAAATACCAATCAAGAATTTTACATCTGCCTCTGATTTTCTTGTATAATTTATTATTGTAGATGATCAATCATACGACAAAAATCAATATCGATCTGACATTGATCAATTCTGAAAATCGAAATCAACGAAATACGCCTACTCCACCTCTTTTGTGTACTAGTACTGAACCCCTTCAGAGTTGGTCAACATCGATTACACGTCCAAAATCGAGTTTACCATCAAAAGATGCCTTTGATATGTTTCAAGCCGGAATGAAACATAAAAAATCGACTCAATCAGATATTCAACATAATCGAATACCAATATCATATCAAAATAATTTAACAAAACAACAAAAAATAATTTTAAATTCAATTCATCATACATCACCAATATTAGATTTTCCTCCAAATGATGGATATGTTTCTCATATCAATTCTCTTCGAAGTTCACCAATACCTCGTTTAAGATCTGGCTATATTCGATCTAATTCTCGATTCAAAACGACTAAATCTCAGACATCATCAACTTCATCTACTACACAGTCAAATATTATCTCATTTCCAAGTTTAGAATCAGTTCCGTTTTATCAAAATCCATCTGTATTAAATAAAAAAAAACAATTAACAACGACTAATACAATTAAAAATCGTCATCAACGTCAGCAAGAAACGAAAGTGAATGAATCAAAAAAAGTTCAACAAACATTAGTTGAAAAATATTCAAATTCTGATAAATGGTATGAACTTCGACAATCATTAATTGAACTAAAACGGTTAGCTTCAAGTCAAAATATTTTAATTGATCCTACTATGTCTCTTTTCAACTGTGATGGATATTCATTTTCATCATTGAAATTCATCATGGATCAAGAACAGCAACAACAACTTAAGAATCGAGATCAAACATCTGACTGTGGTAAGAGAATTATGTCATTATAATATCAAATTAGGGTTGAACGAATATGTGCTCGTACTTATACTAGAGACTTCGCACTCAATCATTCATACATGTACTTGACTAAATTGTTTTTACAGAAACAAAAGATAGAATTGAACGAAGATGTTATAGTTCAAAAGTACTGAAAATATAGGTACGTGGAAAGTATTTTGTACTTCAGCATGCGAAAAGACTACTGAAATCAAAATAGATTAGAAAAAAGTGTATCAGTGATGTGACTCGAAAATTGGAAGACCTTGACTCGACTGTTTGCCTCGAGTCATTCATTCGAAAAAAATTCTATTCACTAACTGCTTTGCATACATTTCCTCTTGTATAAATTTGGGTATTTCTGAATACTCTTTCTTGTTTTATTTTTATTGTTACGTTTCAACGTAAAAGACGCCTTCGTCAGACAAAAGTAGACTAAATGTGAAGAACATATAGTTAATTAGAGTATATATATATATGTAATAGTGCTGACAAAGAACAAGACGGAGACAAAGTGCTAAAGAGACAACGACTGATTATTGCTGTCTTGTTCTTCGTCAGTACTATTATATATATATAGAAAAAAATGGCAAAGATATCTTGACTCGACTCGAAGCCGCTACGAAATGACTCGGACTCGGAAAGTAGTTTGACTCGCCCATCTTTGAAGTGTATATTGAGAAATACAATAATGGGTACAAATGTCCTAACGAGGGAACCTCCACAAATGTACTCTCGTTTTTTAACGAAATGTAGCAGGTTGTAGGTAATCGACCATAGTGATTTCAAATATGATATTCATTTGGGTTCATAGGCCTTTCCTAGCTGGTTTCTGGAAAACCAGTTATCCAGAAACTTCGAAAAATCCCCAAAACTTTTTAAAAATAAGTTACGGTTGTAGCCCGCAAATTTCTGATTAAAATGAGACATCTCCCAGCTCTATACGATCTTTCTTTATAAAGTTATAGAGTTCACAAGAAAAGCCCTAAATGTTCATTGTCATCTCACGAGGGAACTTTCCCAGCTGTTCAACCCCGATTTCTTTCAAACATACATCGATCGATAGCCTATATCGAGATAGTAAAAAGGCTCAAGACTCGCTCATCTGTGTACCAAGTACTGAACAGAGATAGTTCATTTGAACAGTTTGAATTATAGAAGGTGTTTTACAGGTTGTTACAGATCAACTACGAAAAGTCAAACCGTTTCATGATCGTCATTGATAATAGTTTCTACATATTCTAGGTACATCCAGCTCTGTAGTCAATTCTGTTCTTTCAAATGATTCTCCATCGGAGCTCGATGCGGAATCTTCTCTACATATGTCATCTGGTAGATTTCGTGACAAGAACAAAACATCGGCAAGTATCACCTTTCAACGTCCCGCTTTTGAACCATTACAAATCGGACAAAAACCTATTTATACAACTGTTTCTAAAAGACCACCAAAAAGATTTCAACGTCCATTGACAGCTGCTGTGATGACTAGACGAAAAACGTCTACTCCTACTCCACCATTAGTGAATAATCGTGATTATCTTATTGTTTCTGATTTATCTCACACAAGTACAAGAGATGATAAATTAGTGACACCAGCGCCAACAATGGAATTGCCTAAAGTTGTTGTTATTGATGAAGAAAATGATGATGTTAAATCATTGACAACTACAAATCCCATAATACCACCACCAGTTATACGTCCTCCATCCGCTTCCTCAACAGCATTAATGTTAAAATTAAAATCAACACCACGTTGTCGTAGTGCTTGTACAACACCGACACATACAAACGGTATTATTGAAATATCAAAACTTAATAATAAAATTAAATATAGATTTATATTAATAACAGATGAAGAACATCGAATTGAAAGTTGGTATTATCAATATCCATTTATGTCAAGTGATGATCTATTATTGTGTTGTAGTAATAATGAACAGAAACAAAAAAATGCTAATAATACAATAGCAGCCTATTTTATTGGTGATGAAACACAAAAACGTAATTATTTGAATTCAAATGATAAACTCTATCTTAGTGGTAAACCATTTCATATTGTTAATGACTGGAAAAAATATGATCTTATATTTATATCGAATAATGTTTATGATCAAATAATGAAATATTTAGCAAGTATTCTACGTGAAAAAAGAATATTTCAAGTTAATCATGATGATGATCTTAAATTACAAATAAAAACTATATGTAGAAATTTACAAAACTCAATTGTTCTATAAGAAAAAGAAAATTTTGTTTTCTTCTGTTTTTTTTTTATCAAATTTTATTTGAAACTGGGGTTTTGACTGTGCACAATGAACAGTTCTAGCAGGGAATTTTATTAACAAAATAATATTGCACTATAATTATTTTTTCTAACTATATGATATTAACTTGTTATCTGAAGTTGTATGTGTGTATTATTTCCTATTCTTTTAACAAATCATTTCTTGCCCGTGATCAATTTGTTTTCCAAACCACGTGATATGTTTTATTGTGATTTTTTTTCGTCTTCTTTTACATTTTATATCCTTCTATCCATTATTGTTACATTTATATAAGCACCATTATTTTTTACTATCTGCGATGCTCTCATTCTCGCTCTCATTCTCACACGTCTATTTTTTGTATATAACATTTTTTACATTAATATTTATGCGAACTTTTTTATACTTCCTGTGATATTTTTACTTGTATTTTTCAAGAAGTCATTTATAAAAAAAAAGGAAAAATTTGGTCGCAGTGGATGCTTCGTAAAGTGATATTGTTATTTAAAAACTTATTATTGTCAAATCCGAACAAATACAATTAATTTAAAGATGAAAAGATTTTTGAAAAATAAAATTTTTATCAATAAGAAAAGATTTAAATAGTTTGTCAAAAAAAGATTTTCCTATCTAATTCGACTTTAATGCTTCATAGAAATTGAATTGTAAGGTGGTGAGAGTAGAAAAGATTTTTTCACTTGAAACCAATTATCTCTTTCATTATTCATCGTTTTATGCATTCAAATTTATTGGATGGATTTGTTTTTTTCTATCGTTGATTTAAAGAGCCAATATTGATTTTGATAATATAGTCTATTGATCTACTCCACATGCTGTACTTGTATCATTACGATGACATATTTTTTCTCGATTGTTCAATAATCATTGTTCTATTAGCTTTGTTATGATTGCTATTTGGAACTATTGTTAATGTTTGACTTCTCATCCAATTTGATACTTTTATTTGTGCAATTGTTCCACGTAATTTGATATCCGGTTCTAATAACAATAAAATTAAATATTTACATTCATTACTGACAGGTTTATAATGGCTAAAATGTATTTTTTTCTCAATTTGATAACGAACTAATTTTCGCATATTGGAATCATCGAATGGCATCGATCCATAAACCATTATATATAATATGACACCACAACTCCATAAATCAGCAGGAATCGCTTTATACGGAATACCTAAAAACAAATAATTCTATGTAAAAGAAAAAAGCTGTGCTAAAAATCAACTTGAACGCATATTAATACATCTACTCCGAAATTCATCAAAAATAGGTTTTTGCAGTGACATTTATTTTAAATATTTTAGTATCTGTCGTACACTCTAAAAAAAACTTCTTCAGAAAATTAAAACTGTGTTTTTCATTTGTCCCAAATAGGGATCTGCTGTGTGTTTTTTGAAAATTGCAAAACTAATTTTTTCATTTTCCGGAAGAACCGGAATTGAGTTTTGCATTTTTTCAAGTCCCTATTTGGGATATATTTGTTTTCGAGAAAAATACCAGATCGAAAAACACATATCTGTTCTTCGCTCTTTTTCAAAAAGCTGAATCTTATTCCTTCTTGTCGCCAGTCAAGTTTCAATACCATATCAGTGATCAGTTGCCGAAATATCTTTTATACTGTATAAATACTGTCAACTGCAGACCTGCATGAGTGGAGAAAACGATGTAATCCACATCCTACCTCGATCGCCGTATGTACTCGACTCGTAGGGAGCGAGTCGAATTTTAGAATTCTGTTGTCAAGAACAAATATATTCTCGAAGTGTGCACGTTGTTGTTGTATAAAAAGATATTTGTAAGAATAAGTTTAAATTTCTGTAAGGAAAAATCATGTCTCTTATACATATCATGAATTGCAGAACAAAATCGGTGATCGACATCCGAAGCAGACAAACTTTTTCGAAAACGCGTTTAAGCGCACAAAAAAAGACGAAAAACCTAGAAAAAGTGGGCGTGTTTGGATGACAATCGCGGTTCTCGACTGTGGGCGAAAAACGCCCATTTTCCCCCTTCTGGTGCGTTTACACGTGTTTTCAACCAAATGCATAAAAAAAGTGGTCGTTTTTTTCATACTCAAGAACCCTAATTATGATCCCGTCACTGGTAACGACTATGAGGAAAACGACCACTTTTTCTCTTTTTTTTTATGCATTTATACGCGTTTTTGGCTGAAAACGCGTTTAAATGCACCAGAAGAGCGAAAAATGGGCGTTTTTCGCTCACAGTCGGGAACCCCGATTGTCATCCAAACACGCCCACTTTTTCTAGATTTTTCGTCTTTTTTTGTGCACCTAAACGCGTTTTCGAAAAAGTTTGTCTGCTTGGGATGTGTCGTTTTCTTTTCCTTTTTAAACTTCGAGATCTTTAAAGAACTTAATAGAAATATTGTGTTTTCGAAATCTTGAAAAACAAAATTTCTGAAGAACTAAAATGAGCCGAAAAATAAAATTGAATGAAAAATAAAATCAGATTCTTCATATTTCAAAGAATTTGAATAAAATCTTCAACTAGTTCTTTGAAAACACGAAGAATACGTGTTTTTGTGTAACTCCTCCCCTGAATTCCTCTGAAAAAGGAAGAACAAGGAGTGAAAGTTTGTACGGGGAGATTATGCTGAAAATCTGCATATTTTATTCTTTCAATATATTGCCTTTTATTTAAGTAAGAAATATAGCACTGCGACAAAATGCATGTTCAAGTTATCACTCAAAACACTACTCGAGCTTTCGACCTTTATTCAAGGGTCATCATCACGAGTGATTTAATATATTACCTTGTAAAATTTCACAACTAGCGTATGCTGCTGATCCACAATAGGTACTTGAATATTCATTCGATTCCAGAATTCGAGCAAAACCTTGTAGAAACAATCACATGCAATGTCTCTTCTAAGATTTATTTTAAATACTTACCAAAATCAGATAATTTAACATCAAAATTTTTGTCTAAGAGAACATTTTCACATTTTAAATCACGGTGTACAATATTAATAGAATGTAAATAATCAACGGCTGATATTAATTGTGCAAACATTTTTCTTGCTTTATCTTCCGTTAGACGACCAAACAATTTAATATAATCTAGTAAATCTGTTTTAGCTAAATCCATGACAATACACAATTTAGAACTGTAGGAGAAAATATTATAAACTTTAATTATATTCGAATGTTCTAAACATTGTAATATTTCTAATTCACGTGGTAGAAAATGTCGTTGAAAATCAACTGGAGCTTTACGACGGTTAATAATTTTAATTGCCACTTTATGTTGCAATGATTCACTATAAGCTGATTTCACTTTAGCATCTAAATATTTATAAAGTAGAAGATTTAATAATCGATTTAGTCTATCTAGAGATCAAATAGAGAAAGTTTTGGATAAAAAATATAATTATAAACTAATACTTACAAGTACCGGTACCTAAAACAATAAATGAGATGTTTAAGAATTTCAAAGAAATTTATTATTTGAGTGATCTTTACAATACACTGTATTATAGGTAAGATTTTGATCACAAATCTATATTCATTTGAGCAATATTCTCTTTTAGGTGAACCTACAGAAACCGGGTCTCCAGAGAGCCATAAAGAACTTGCAATCAGACACATCCTGCTGATGTCAGATTGCAGAGTACAGTACGTTGAAAAATTTTAGAGATTGATGAATTAATATTCTTAAAATTATAAAATTTTCACTTATATAATAGCTGAAAATTTCAGGTGTCCCAATCTGACATCATCAGTATGCGCAATAATATTTCCTCCGTTTAAAAACTGTCCATTTGAAAGTTTTTTATGGCTCTCTGGAGACCCGATTTCTGTAGGTTTAGTCAAAACTGGAATATGGGATCAAACGAATATCAAATTTGTGATCAAAATCTTATCTATAATACAGTTTATTCCAAAACAAAAATAATCGGTCACTAGGTAACATTCCCTTGTGTGTCAGTTAGAGTACAATCCTTTTTCCAAAGAAAAGACAAGCAAGAATCTTAAGGTTTTTATACTGTGTAGAATAACAGTATACCAATTTTAGTATATCAAAAGAAGACATAACTTCTCATTTGGTCTATGAAAAAGCGGCATTTCTGCAATAATAGTTATTTAAATTAGATATCAGAGTCAGAACACTGTGGGAAAGGCGTGTGCTAAACAAAATCATCGAATAATACGAACATTTTTCGGGTCTGCTTGTAAAAAGTTAAGAGAATAAAATTGAAAAGATAACAGAAGCATTTATAAAGGAAAAATAAGAGTATGAGGTTGTATGAAACATCTTTAAGGGTTTTCCATTCTGAAATTGGATAGTAACCTGTAAGTATTATATAGATTCCCCTTTTAAAGGGTTCTGGAGCAACAAATTGAACGGACCGAAAAAGGCTTATTCGAAAACCAAAAAGAGTTCAATGGATACTTGTAATATACGCTAACGCCTATTAGCATCCAAAACCTACATGAGTTACACACTGCTCGACTCTCAGTGCGGAATACGATTATATATTAGATTATGAAGTTAGAGAGATGAGAACGTCGTTTTGAGTACCAGTAGCATTAATAAGTATCCATCTGAATATTATTCGATGTTAGTATAATCAACTCGACGAACTCTATCTATTGGCTGTATCAGATTTTAATTCGGTGAGATTCAGGTATTCAATCAGCATGCATTAATTTTTCTTTACAAGTCGTTCAACTCTACTGTTTTTTGATGAAATATAGGTTTCAATCTCTTTCACTTAAAACAATTTTGTTTACGATTTCCTACGCTCGAAAAAGAAACCCAACCTTAAAATAAGTAAGCCGATTGCAAATTTCAAGATGGATAAATTCTTGAATATTTATTTTAACTGCAGTTAGAATTAGAATCTTGAAGGAAGTACTAATCCTAATGAGTGAGGCCATAACAGTATGAGTTTGAAGGGAGGGAACTCAGTATTCTACTAAATATATATGTAGGGTACGAAGTACCTTCGTGGCTGAAAATGAATGAAGAGAAACATAGCCATTTTCTTTTAAAAATCCTTGTTCTTTCTAAAGACTAATGAACGTAATAAAAGAAACAATTGAGCTCTTTGTCTGCTATAGAAATAAGATGGATACACACCATATAGAAAACAGCATCTTAAAACAAGATTGATCTGTCTTAAAGTAAGATCGACGAAAAGATCGACGAAAAGAAGTAAGATGCAGATCAAAGATGTTGTTGTTTTTTACAGTGTACGAAAAATCGGTACCCGTTCAGCTCTGATTATTTTCACAGATACTCAAAAAAAAATCAGATCTAGAATTAGTGCATACATAGAAATGGTATCTATAATTTGATCTCTATAAGTGCACTGTAAAAAAAGTATGTAGTGACAAACTTAATCTTATGGGTTTCATCTTTTTCCAACACTCATAACCCATAAGATCCGGTCTATACTACATAATTTCGGAGCAAAATCAAAACCGATGTCAAAAAATTTCTAGTACAAGAAATCTTGTATATCTTGTCTGCAAGGTGCAAACAGAGCAAGGAAATGGAATAAGCAAACATGTATTCATGTTTACCCAATGTAATTCCTAATCTAAGACCAAATTGTAATAATTCAATTTCATCATTGATATTATTAAGCATGGATACGTTGGATGACATATCACCACCAACTGCTACTGCTGGTGGTGATGTTGGCATTTTATACGAACGAGCTGTGGGTACAAGAGATGATGAAAAAGTAGATGGATTACTGACTTCATTATAATTCATTGATTGTGTTTCATTTATTGTTCGTAATGGGAGAGCCATATTATACAATACAATGGTATTTCTCTATTTAGGTTTTTTGGCTACGATAGACCTTGTATAAAATATCATCTTTGGCAACAAATCTATATATTTTCCTCTTTTTATGTTTTTCTGCACTCGTCTGTTTGTTTTGACCTATATTAATCAATCTTTTGTGTACTGATAGTCCGTGATAATGAATTATTTGAAATAATTAGTAATAGCAAAAACATAATTTTTTTGAATATGAAAAAAACACATCGACACATCCATACATAAATAGTATTTGTTCACAATTAAATTTTTATGCGAATCGTATTTCTAGTTTATATATCTAATTATAGTATATTTTTAGAATTATTGTTGGTCTCTGATTAATAATAAGGTTTAATAGCGCCATGGCATAGTTACAAATTTTAAAAACTAAATATTTATAAAAACAGCGCATAAATCATTCAAATTTTTTAATAATTCAAATGTCGCATGTTACAAGTCATGCATGTATGAATCAACAGTTGTTTCTCCTATATCCTTCTCTCAGCATACGTCTGATAAATGCAATGAGTGGTTGACCTGATATTTTAACTGTAATTATGTTGTAAGCATTAACTACATAATTGGTGATGATACGGATGATATTCATTACCGTAATTCCAAACACAAACTAATCTGCCTCAGTAATTACTGTATAGTCTCTCTATGATCGGCTTTCACTGACAAATGCACGCAAATGTTGGTCTAATTAAGCTATATCAAAGATAAAATATTCTTGAAATGAGTTTCTATTAATGTTACAATTATTCTTTAAAAGTAGATATCGTATAAAGCATGTTTTCTTATTAGACTATAATGAACAATTGTGTCAATTCATTCACACTCTATGGAGATGTTGTTTGCATCATTAATCTTCTTTTCAATATTCGATATCATTACTTTAGACGTTCAATTGGATATATATATATATATACTTTTTTTTCTGAAAGATCGTTAAACACGTAGAGTCATGTATGTCGGCGCTTTTTGATATGTTATTGTTGTAGGTGGATATGCCGTTTGTGTGTATGTATTAAAATGGATGACTTGAACACGTTTCTTTTAATGGGTAACGCTGATACATATTAGAGAGGCAATAGATCATTCAAAACTTTTTTTTGTGATCAAAAAATGAAAAATTGTTTTGCGGTGTTTTTCGATCTTCATCTCTCACTATCTTTAATGATACAAGTGTAAGAAGAATTATGCCGCTCTCTTTATCTATATTGTACATACTCATTTCTCTTAAAATGATACATTCGTCTGACAAGTCGAGCACTTAATTCAAGATTTATGATTGTCGATGAAACGAGCAAAGAGAGAGAGAGAGAATACAGTATCGGATGAAAGCAAAACATGAAAAAGAAATGATATCATCATAAATATTTCTTGTTTTGCCTGTCTGAATCACTCCCTATTCTATTGTGAAAGAGACGTTTATTACTGTCAGATATGCTCAACCTCCTTTTTTCATCTATCAATCACTACTTGAGTACGGGAAAGATTTCTGACACCAATGAGGTTTTTCTTTCAATAATTCATGGCAGCTAAAAGTACAGGAAATAGTAGTCCTTTAGTGTCAAACTCAGATTGAAAAACTCGATTTTTTTCAACCTGATTGTGTAATTTTAAAACTTTATTCTAGGCTTAAAAGATGCAGAATTTTGTCTAATTTTCAATGATATACTTATCTTAGAATAAATCATTATGCTTTCTTTAAAACTTTTAAAATAGTAAACTATCTTATTCTTTTTCGAACAAGACTCCTCTCATAATAAGCTCATGGCTTGTTTACCCATAAGAAAGTGCAAAGAATTCTCTATATTTTAAACTAAAGAAAATAATTCTGTAACAAGATCCATATCTTTTATAAATCATATACAAAAAATGTGTTTTTAGTTTTTTCAAAAATTTTTCAATCTGAGTTGAACACCAAAGAACTATAAGTCAAATTTCTATTCAATCTGATTTGATAGGTGTAATTTATATTTGCAAAGACTTCTTTTAGCCCTTCAACAATTATCGCATATACTATACAACAAATGAATGAAGAAGTACAATATATCGTTGTAATGTTCCATTGTCAATAAAACTAGAAAACTTTTAATTGTTCTGTGGATTACCATTTTTGTGAAATATTTGATTGATTAATAACACTAGTATTTGAAAGCACTTTAAAGTTATTTTGAATACGAATAAAATCTATAGAGAAAATTCTGGAACTACTTTTCCCACTATGATTCTGAGACCACAGTCAAATGTTATACAAATATTTTACAAATAATGTTGGTGTCAGTTCACTACTCTCCATACATCAGCAAATAATCAAATATCTGTGCGATATTAATGCTCATTATTAATAAGACGAGTGACGGATTCAGAATTTTTCTTAGGTACATGAGATACGTGCTGTCTCCACTCCTCAGTCATCATTTCTCTTCCATCATTAATGTTATCGTTCTTTTTATTTTGTGTATATTTTATTGAAAAACTTAAATCTTGATCTGACAAACATTGTTGAACTAAATAAATTGGCCAATAAATTTATGTTCGACTCACTTTTATATGGTTGGCGATGATAGTGCTAGACAGTGATTTATCGTTTCTGATTGCATTGTGCTATTCTGTTCTTTTTATTTCTCTATGTTCTTCTTCTTTCTCTATATATTTATTTTGTAATTGTGAACAACATAGGACAAGTGTACTGTGTTCTGTTCTTTTTCTTCTTTCCGTGTTGGTTTACTTTTCTTTTCTTTCTCTCTAGTATAAACTAACATTCTACTCGTCAATCTCTATATTGATAGCTTTTTTACTGTCATATATTAGTTTTTTTCTATTGGATAGACAGACATATATTATTGCCGATGCAAGACACTTCATTTCATTTCATTTATATATATATATATATATATATATTAGATTTTATTGTGGTCTTAAACAAATTTTATCAAAAAACAGTACGTGAATTGTACAGTACACTATGGTTGCAACACTGACCACCAAAGATTATTCGGAATATATACATCCATCATCCCAAACAACGGTAAGCATTTCATATTTTTAACAAATATTTTGGCGCCATTTTTGCTACTATAAAAAGTTCAATTTTTTTTTCTCAAACGTAAATCATGTGTAGTAAACCATATTCTTTGATTATCAGAATATTATTGTCAATTTTGATAGTACTTCTCAATTAGATAATCTATGAAATACGAAATATTTATCGTCATTTTTTATTAGATTGATATGAAACAAAGTCCATTAGTATTGATGGCTCAGGCATGTAATAATATTGGTAAAGAACTTGGACTTGCTGATGTTACATCACCATCGTTCAATAAATACTACCAATCATCATCAACTCAAGTTTCAAAATGTGATAAACCGAGAACACGTTCAATCGTTCATCCTCAACAAAACGATAAAAATCGTACAATATCTAGAAAATCTTTATCGCCTTCGGAAACGACAAATAACAATCGAGCAAAATCATCGAAACGTTCTTCACTATCAAAATCATTGAATGAATATGAATCATCGCCACAAAAACAACGTCATACCACTAATCGTACACCTACACCATTACCAACAAATATACCGCCGTGTTCTCCTCCGAAAAATAAACAAACATCATCACCTTTTTTGCCTTCTCAGTTTCCAGTACCATTGTCCATACCGCCATCCGATTTTTCTCCAGAAAATCCATTTTTGATACCATCACTGAATCCAATGCATTTTTTTGATCCCACTCTGCTAAGTCATTTAACGAAAACATGTTATTCTCCTGATTTATCGTCACCATCGATAGCATCGGCAAATTCGGCATTTACAAGCCAGCGTAATGATCCTCATTATTATTTGGATCAAATTATTCGTGAATATTCAAATAAATACATTAAAAATACAACCACTAATTATTCTCCGTCATCGTCAACACAACAACCACAGTTTGTTTGTAATTGGATGGAATCATCCGACGGATTTTGCGGTAAACGTTTTCAATCACAATTAGCGTTACTTGACCATCTATGTACACACACATCGGGTGAAAATAATCATTCAAAAACAATTCCATCATCATTACGTTTTCATCCGTATAAGCCATCACCGAATAGTTCGTCATGTTCTTCTCTACCCTATTTTACATCATCAGCATTAAATCATTTATTGGCCACAGCACCAGTTTCCTCGTTGTATACTCCAACACCATTTGGACTTTATCCACCACCATTGGGCTTCTTTCCAAACAAACTATGACAAAAAAAAACAATGTGTTGTTGCTCTTTATTTACAGTGAATTTATCAATTTGGGCGGGGCAGTTTGAATTGTGTGTATTTCTTGCTATTAAAACTAAACGGAATAAAATTATAGTGTTTAAATATTTTAACATAATATAAAGAATACATGAAAATCTGTCCTAAATATACATAAAATTTGTCTAAAAATCTATAATATTAATAATAAATCGATCAGTACTACTGTTATCTACGTTTTCTCGAAAAATAAAAGTCTTGAAAATCGACAACATGAATTACATGATTTATACTATTCAATATTTTCTTTTTTTGTTTTTGATAGACGGTTTCAAAAAAAAAAGGTCAAGTACTGGCACTCTCATAAAGTCAATATTTCTATTTTCTTCTACAAAGAAACTTAATCGAAATAAATGTACGATTCTAGTCTTCAGTAGTCAGTTATTAGTAATAATATTTGAAATTTGAATACAATATGATGTGAACAAATGAATTACAAATATGTTAGTTTTAATGTTTGTAATATCATTTGAATGGACATCATATATATGTATGTATTGTTATAAATGACTATATATTACAACTCGTCTCTATTGTTCGATAAACGATATTAAACATGAAAAAAAAAAAGCCAGCGAGTATACGTTATTCAAGTTACGATGATAGATTAATATTATATTATTCTCCTCCTTCTATACTATGTATTATTTATGTTGCCAATTGACTATGAATATAAAGTAAAAGTCATACTATTGTAGTTCATTGATTTCGTTTTCTTTTTTCTTTTTGATAATAGAAGAAACTTTCTAGAATTTAAATAGTAGCAATAATTAGTATTCTTAGAAGTTCTGAGATATTTCTTTCGTCTTGTACATAAACAGTTTAAGTACATGATCAAAAAATGATTAATGTGATAATTACATAGCCTATTGGGTATGACATTATACAAATGAAAGTTGAAGACTTTATTAATGAAAAATGAACATTATTCTTCTCTTCTAACAAATTATCTTTTGATTTGTCATTGTCATATAAATCAGTTTTTCTTTTTGGTAATCATTTTTTAATATTATGTTTAAACGAGTAACTCACCACACTTGCCATCGTTTGACAAAAAGTTACCAAATCAATTGTGGAATCTCTTTTTTACCATGATTATTAATTGTTTACTGAGCGTTCAGTTTCGACCTAATTATGTATGTTATCTAGCGGAAATCAAATTTGATCTTTCAGATTTTGAAAATCGTGTATACACCAGTTTTTTAATGGTTTACAGTCATTAGTCATAATTTAATGAAACCGTTTTCAGAACATTTTTAAAAACTTGAAATTGAAAACTTAACAGTTACTGATGAACAGCTAAATTTTTCTAACGAGGGAACGTTGACACATGCCCACCGCCGCTTTCAGTGATATTCTGTCTATTGATCGAGATTAGTGCGTTAATAAAAAACTCATGTATATGTTGATTAAAAGAATTTTTACTCTCATAAGGAAAACCCAGTTTTATTGCACAACTTCAATCATTGTGCAGAATATAGGAAAGAACAGCGAGGTTTTTGCAGTTCGTCTACAAAGATCAAGTTCGTGTGTTCGATCCTAGCTTCGTGCAAGGATTGATTTTGTGTTTTGATAAGTTTAAGTTTCAGAAATGATATAATGGGAATTTATATTCTCGATTTCGTTCTGGTTCAAGATTACAGGCTTAAACCAAACCAACCTAATTTTCCGAAGATGTTCTTATTTGTTCTGATTCACATGTCTTTTGTACCCAATAGATCACATATATTTCTGTACTTGTCTCCTCTACCATGACCATTCTGAAGTATAGAGAAAACACATATCTAATTAGTCTGTGCGCCTTTTTCCATATTTGGGAAAAAATAAAATAAAATTAGAGTTTCATCCGGGACAAGCCTGAACGGAGAAGTCGACTGATTGCATCCGTGAACTGTAGGTGATACGGATGCTAAATAGTAGATGAATGAGAAGAAGAATGTGCCATAGCAATCAGCCAAGTGAAAAGCAATGAGGCGTGTCATCTACAGTTCACGGATG